ATAATATCTCCTGTACATCTTTTTCCGCTAATATCCTCTACTTTCCATATAATCATGTTATTTTCTGAAGTAAATAAAACGGATCCTAATAAATTCTGACTAGCAACATTTTTCCAACCATCAAAGGCTAACATGATTCCAAGATCATCATTAATAGCGTCATTAAGAATGGTTTCCGAAAGTGACTTTGTAGTTTTTTTAAGAATTCTGCCACCAAGTTGTTTTCGATCTGGTAATTCTAACATTGGATTAAGCCACTTAAAAAGCTCTACAACTGCTGGATTATCAATCCAACGAAAGGAAAAACCACATGCAACTGTAACATTCAATAATAATCGCTCAAATATTTCTATTTGCTCAGGTCTCACTTCACGATATGCATAATTATCAAGTGGACCGAAACTTTGAAAAGAAATTTCTGATATACTACTACTTATACTATTTGTACGCGATGTTTTATAGAAAAAATTGTTTAAATTAGAAGAACCGTGCGAAGATGGTGTTATTGATAGCGATTTTAATTGTAAATTTTCTTCAACTTCACTTTCAACTATTCGTTGCCGTTTGTATAGTTTTTTTGAACCATAATCCATTGCTTTCTGAATAATTTCTAGAGTTTGTTCCGGAGTGTGTCTTTCAGCCCAATGAGGACAATTTTCAAGATGTTTTGCACATGCACGTTTAGTATTAGTAAACTTCTGTTTCATAGCTGCTTCTCGACCTAAAACTCTAATACAATCTTGACAAACTACATAGTTATTATACTTGTTAGATTTTTCTTCTAATATCAAAAAATATCCACTAAGCTTATGCTTTTCTCGCATTTTAATAAAAATTCACAATCTTAAAAAAAAAAAAAATGATCGCCCAAAAAAAGAGATTATCAATTATTCAATTTATTACACAAAATTTAATTGGTTAATTGAATTGGACTAAGTCCAATTGTTTATCCAATTGGTTCAATTGGACGATTTGGTTATAGTCCAAATCCAACAAATATTTATTGGACTTATTGGACAATTGGATGCAATTGGTCAATATCCAATTGTCCAATTGTCCAATAAGTCCAATTAAGTCAATTGGAATGAGTCCAATGCCAACACTGCACAGAATCGATCCGATTAAATAATTGGATAATTATAGTCTGTGAAGATAATGTATCCGTCAGTTAACGAGAAATCATTAATTGATAAAACTTTTTGAACTGGTTCCAAGTTCTAAATAACATTTCGTTCCATACATGAAATTTATGAGAATGAAAGTTCCTATATATTTATAATAACCCAAATTAACCTTTTTTGTCATGATCGATAAATTTTACAATGTAGTTAACATAACAAAGCGTTTCCCGTGCACTTATATTAATTTAATTTAATTCAAAGATCGACAGTATTTTTTATAAAAAATTTGCGTAGTGAGGTAATATCCGTCTCTTTCTGAAAAACTTCCAAACTCAGATTTTTTAGTATTAATATCTACCATAATTATAAAAGGAAATTTATTGGTTTGCATTGATAGATAAAAATTTACGTATCAGATTAACAAAATAAAATAATGCTTAACCACAAATGTATTTATTGTTACTGACATTTAATAATGTTATACTAGAACTACCTAATAATAATTATGTAAACTTGTAAAACTATTTATATTGCATACAATCACACTATCTAAACTTTATTATCGGCTTTATCATTGACTTTATTATTGCCTTCTACCAATAAATTCAAAAAATCAGTATTAATATAATATTCTTTAAGCATATTTTCCATATTTTGGACTCGTTCTTCCAATGTAACATCTTTGGTCCTTCCACTAATGAATGGAATTGGTTCATATTTATTTTTGAGCTTCCTTAAAAGTTTTCTTTGATATTCTATACATAAGTAACTAAACACATATGTTTGTAAAAATCCCCTATTATCAAAAGAAATAAAATATTATGACTACTAATCTATAATTACGAATTGTAAAAATTATTATTTTAACTTACCATGGCGCTAACTTAGTTGCTCCAAATAAAAATATAAAGATTCCTGACAAAAAACTAAAGAATCCACCGATTCTTGATAAAATTGAGGCAACTAAAGAGAAAAATAGGAATAAAGATTTTTAATTTTTTATTTTCACTGAAAATTAAAAAAAAGTTGATAATTACGATCATAATAAGATTCCTCTCGATAAAAAATATCCTTTGATACTGGTCTTAATATAAGCATTGTTGTATTTGGGGATGATAAATTTGTTATATGATCAGTATGTGCATTAAAGTCAACGAATTCTTCTTCCAATCCTCCCACAAGACCGTAAACATACTTGCTAAATATACGTTTGTTGATTATAGGTGAATAATATACGATTGTGGCCTGTTCATTCACAATAAATAAAGGAATAATAGAAACCAAATTAAAGCTAGAAGATGATGGATAAACTTTATCTATTTTAAATCCATCTAAATAAGCTTCAGTGATGTTAGGGGTTATTACTATTCTATTCTCCATCTGATAGTCAAAATTATAGTAATAACTTTCACCACCATTATTACAAATATGAGGAACATAATTATTTATTATAGACCCAGTTGTTTCGCATTGACTTGAATTAAAGTCAATATAATTATAATTAACAGATAAAATATTAGAAGAGTAATTACAATTTATAGGAATTAAACTACAAATTCTAATAACAATTTTGCCGAAATTTGCATGTTTTATACTGGAAATTAGGTTAGGCTCAGTAGTCGAAATAGAAAATTTTGAAAACTGACTATAAGTATAAATAAGAAGTACAATTATAAGTGAAAGAGAGCATAATTTTTTTAAAAAAATAAAAGAAGAAGGTTCAGTTGATGATTTAGCTTCTGGGAAAATCATTTTTAAATTTAGTGCAAATTTTAAAAAAAAAACAAACTGTCCAGTATTATGTATTATTGATGATCGTCCAGTTCGAATTCTTGATTGATGATCACCGGCTCAGGAATGCGGCTAAGTTTAGCGGATAGTTACGCATTATATAAAATTTTTTTTGTAGATCGGCTGTGCATTTTTTGTGGCTTGATTACATCTATTTAATTAAAAATTTAATTATTATAATCGAAATTACAATTAATCTGGTTTGCTTTATTTAGCTAGCCTTCCGAGCTGGTCAAATAGATTCGAGTTATTTGACTCAAATTGATTATTTAAATGCAACGAGTATTAACCTGTCGAATCAGAATCATATTTGGTAATCAATATTTATTCGGATAAAAATGGATATATCCAGCTTCAGCCGGATATGATATTACCTATATAATAAACAGATAATAAATACAATTCACACGATAGCTAATTTCCATACCAAAGGAATAAAACATGTTAAGCGTTAAAAATTTAAGAATATTAAATTTTCTATTGATTTTTATAATTATTTCCGAAACTGTTCTTCTTATTATTTACCCTTTTTATATTAAATTCCGAATAACTTCGACATCATCATTATGGATCACAGTTCCATTCGTTCTTTTTAATGGATTATCTGTAATCTTTTATAAAACCATATTACATTTTGTTGCATTTTTAATTGTAAATTTTGCTCCAATTGGGATAACGCTTTGTAATATTTTCAAATTTGATTACTTTTTTGGTAAATATTTTTTTTTAAGAATTGCTTATGCATAAATATTATTAATTGTATTTTGTAAATAATTCATTTAAATAATTAAGAATTTGGTAGTCAAATTTTAATTGAATTAAGCAATGGAACGGTTAGTAAGTATATAGAAGAAATTAATAAATTAAACAACATTATCGACCCTGATAATAAAACCGAAATGATAAACAAAGCTAAGGATGAAATAAATGAAATTTCATCAAAATATTATATACGCGAATATATTCCTTTGATGATAATTTTAGGAATATTTCAATTTACCCTTATAGTAATTTGTGTTTTATTGTTAGGGTAATTATTAACAATTATTTTATATTCTAATTTTTTTAATATAAACTAAATTTATTACTTTATTAGATCTTGGAAGTGGATTAGGGAGTCTAAATTGAGTGATAATCGGAGAAGTAAGTTAAAATTATTCTCTTTAATTTCATTATCAACATATTAATCTATTTTTTATTAGATATCAATATTATTTATCAACTTGAGAGGATATTGCTTCTAATTTCAGTTTCATTTAGTGGAATTGCGTTATCAATATCATTATTTGTATTTGGGATTCTTATAAATATGAATTCCAAGAGTATACTCGTTAAAATTATTGAAATATATAGTGTTATTGTAATTATTCTAATTTCAAATGTTTTCTTAGTGATACAAAAATGTTCAAAAAAACTTTATGTTTTATTTTATCTTGCAATTATAATTGAAATAGTATTACTATTTGTAATGTTAATTGGTTATAATTATCCATCTATTATTTTTAGTAATATTAATAACGGTAATTAAAAAAAAGTTTTATCTTTTTTTTTTTTCTCAAATGATTTTTTAAATATTAAATTATTATTATCTGATAATTTTTAGGTAATATTACTAGTGGTGGTGTTACACTTAGAGTAGAGATATTTATGAGTACATAAATTCTTATTTAAAATTCTTATTATTAATTGATAAAAAATTTAAACTAAACTTTTTTATATATATAATTTTAGTTACACTCTTTTTATTTTTCCTAATAATTTTAATTATTAATACTCGATTATGTCAAAATTATATTGATGAAAATATCATTTTACAAAGTAAGTAAAAGAAATTTAAAAATACTTTATTATTTTATTAAATTATTTTTATAAATTAACTTATTTTATTTATTTATTTTTTTTTAGTATATGGTCCAAAAAATAAACAAATTCTATTACAAAATATTAAAGAATCTTTAAAAAAAAATTTAAAAAAATTTTTAAACTTTTTAGGAAAAAAGTCAAAATCAGATGAATCTTACTTAAAAACATTAGGAATCAATGCATGGAAATTTATACCTGAATCAAGATTTTTATTATTAAATATAATAAAAATTGATGACGAGACTGATAATGAAGATGATGAGATTGAGAACGTTTATAACGGAGAAACCGATAAGATTAAAATCGTTGATAATGATAAAAATGATGATAATATTAAAATTTATTTTAATGCTAAATCAGACGTTATGATACAAACAAATTATCCTTTATCAAATATTAACAATATACCATTTGATACCATTGCTTTGAATATGCGTAAGAACTATTTATATTAAGTCAGTCTTATTACTACTTACTAACTAACATATTTGCTACCGAATTCTAAATACTATTAATAGATACTTCTTCCACACAACCAATAGAGTATTGGTTCTATTACTATGAAATAACAATTTCTTCGAATCCGAATAATGATAAAACAATAATTGCTATTGGTCTTGCCACGAAAAATTATTCAATTAACAGGTATTTATTTCTACAAAAAAATTTTAATGATCAAATTAAACGATTACTAAATTTTTTTTTTTAATTTAAGATTGCCTGGTTGTGATACACATTCTGTTGGTTTTCATTCAGACGAAGGTAGAACATTCCACAATGAAGGATATACTGGTTCAAAATATGCTGAAAAATGGGGCAAAGTAAATGATGTAATAGGTTGTGGTTATTGTCCAAATACTGGACAAATTTTCTTTACAATGAATGGTAAGAATTTGGGTATCGCTTATACCAGTCTATTTTATAATTGGTATCCTACAATTGGTTCTAATGGATTTTGTAGTTTGAATGTTAATTTTGGCCAAAAAGAATTTAAGTATAAAGAAGCTAATGGTATGAGCGTTGCTGGTATAATTTCTCAAGAATTATTA